GTCCCAGTTTCTGGCTGCTGCTTCACCTCATCTCGTGTCCGTACTGCTTACCCCTGAGAGAGACCCGGATGCACTTGACATCCCGACTCCGCGCTCTTACGCGGAGGCGATAGAGGGTCCCTACTCCTCTCAGTGGCAGGCAGCTATGGACGCAGAGATGGCTTCCTGGAAGTCCACAGGCACCTACGTTGACGACGTTCCCCCGCCTGGGGCGAACATCGTCAGTGGCATGTGGATTTTGAGGGTGAAGCGGCCGTCGGGTTCTCCGCCTGTCTTCAAGTCGCGTTACGTGGCTCGTGGCTTCAGTCAGCGGCAGGGAGTTGACTACTTTCAGACCTTCTCTCCCACCCCGAAGATGACCACTCTTTGGTTATTGCTGCACATAGCTGCTCACCGTGACTACGAGCTTCACTCTCTTGACTTCGCGTTACGTCGCTGTTTCTGCGCACCGACACTTCTTTGCCGCCGTTCTTCATCCTCGTATACGTCGACGACTTGGTCTTTGCCACAGCTGACACTGCTGGACTCGCCCACCTGAAGTCCGAGCTGCAGAAGAGACACACGTGCACAGACCTGGGTGAACTGCGCAGCTACCTTGGCTTGCAGATCACCCGGGACAGAGCACGCCACACCATTACCCTGACTCAGTCACACATGGTGCAGCAGGTCCTTCAGCGCTTCGGCTTCACGTACTCCTCGCCTCAGGCCACTCCTCTGCCTACTCGTCACTCGCTCTCAGCTCTGCCTTCGGATGAGTCCGTAGAGTCGAGTGGCCCGTACCCAGAGCTTGTTGGCTGCCTCATGTACCTGATGACCTGCACTCGACCTGACCTTACATACCCTCTTAGCATTCTTGCACGCTATGTTGCTCTTGGGAGACACAGACCAGAGCACATGGCTGCAGCGAAGAGGGTGTTTCGCTACTTGTGCAGTACGTCAGGCATGGGGCTTGTGCTTGGAGGGCGCAGAGTCCAGTGGTCCTCACTGGGCACGCAGACGCTTCTTGGGCTGACGACCAGGCTACGCAGCGGTCATCACAGGGTTACACCTTCAGCCTTGGTTCCGGCTCTGTTTCGTGGCGGGCTACCCGCTCGTCTTCTGTTCTTGGCTCTAGTTGTGAGGCTGAGATCTACGCCGGGGCCATGGCTGCACAGGAGCTTCGCTGGCTCACCTACCTGCTAACTGACCTCGGAGAGCCGCCTCGTTCTCCTCCAGTGCTGTACGTAGACAACAAGGCCATGCTGGCCTTGTGTCGAGAGCAGAGACTGGAGCACAGAACGAAGCACATTGCTCTCCGCTACTTCCTTGCTCGTGAGCTGCAGCAGCGTGGTCAGCTGCGTCTTGCGTACGTGGCCTCTGAGGCCAACACTGCTGATATCTTCACCAAGGCGCTTGCGCCTTGTGATCATCAGCGCTTCTGTACTCAGCTGGGTCTTGTGCCTACCTTGCCTCACTTGCTCACCTCTTGACCTTGCTTGTACTGTTACATATATATATATACACGTGCTCTTGCTTGTCTAGCCTTTTATATATATATGTACTCCTGCATGTGAACTGGCCTTGTGGCCTTGACCTTGTGCTCGGAATGTGTGGTGACTTTGTGATCCACCCTGAGCTTGCTTTGCTTTGCTTTGCTTGACTGGTCTTGTGACCCCTTGTACTCCCCCACTTTGCCTATGGGGGTGTGTCAGAGCATTATAGCTTATGCTTTTGTGTAGGTTGTAGTGGGGTAGCGTATATGGGGTACAACCCAATTAGGGTTAGTACTTGTACCCAACTCTTTCATAGTGCATTCATTCTCGTTTATTTTCACACCGCTCGCTTCACCAGCTGCCGCACACGAACAACATTGATGATGGCTGTGGAGGATGTGGCCCCATCACTCCATTGTGGCAGCTCCCGGAACTCCCCGTCTACCTTGACGCTGCAGCTTCCCTGAGCCCAATCGAACTGAGTACTAACCGTCTGTAGCCAATCCCTACAGAAGATGAAGTCGTAACTGTCCAGTGTGGCAGAGTCAAAGTCACGCCTAACCGTGATTGGTCCTAGCACTACGCGCAATTTGTGAATGACTGGTCCTATGTGAATCGGCGTCCCATCTACAATACGTGCGTCCTTGAAGTTGACTGCCGAATCTGCTTCAAGATGGAGATGACTGACTTATGAAGAAGAGACGAACGAGTGGCTAGCTCCGCTATCTACAAGAATCTTAACAGGAGCTCTACGAAGCTTCCCTAGAAGCACGACTGGACGGTCAACAGCGTCTACCGAGTTCGGCGTAGATGACTGCTCTAGAACTATCTCCTCTAAGTTGGTAGACGTGGCGGGTACGGGAACTTCCACACCAGCTAGCGACCCGCTATCTTTTGGCGGTTTCCGTTTCACTGCTGCCGCTCCTTAAGCTGTGGGCAGTCCCGCTTCATGTGTCCCGGCTTTTTGCAGTAGTGAGAGTTCCCCCTAAATCCCATTTTCTGTGAGCCGTCACTGTTCACTGCACCAATCTCCATGGGCGATGGTCCGTCCCTCAATCGAGCGTCGTTGATTGGTCTATTGTATCCCCTATCGCGATCGTCACGACCCCGTCGGCTTCGTACTGCGTCGACATGTTCTGCTGCTGCGACTACCGACTCGAAGGTGGACAACCCGTGAATCGCTATGATCTCCGCTATGTCCGACTCCAACCCTTCGAGGTAGCGATCGCGCATCTTTGCTTCCGTGATGTCATCTATTTCGTTGCAGATGCTCAAGAACCGTCGTGTGTACTCCTGGACCTTTCCTATCTGTCGGAAATGACGCAGACGCTTCCTAGCAGCTTCGGAGGCGTTCACCAAATCGAACCTACTTTTCAGCTTCGCTTCAAATCCTTCTCATGTGGTCGGAACCATGGTAACACCCAAAGCTAAACTACCTAAGCTCGAAGTTGCAGCTGCATGCCCCACGCCCTGTTGATGCCCGTCTGTTTGAGCCCTTCTTATAGCAGTTTGCGTAAGTTGGCGCCACCACTCCAAGGCCGGGCCCCTCAGCAGCGTAACGGCGTACTCAATCCGCTGCTGCGCGTCCGCCTCTTGCACCCCGCTCGCGGCGAAGTAATTGTTGAGCATGAAGATCCACGTCCGCACGTTCGCGTCGCTTTGGCTTGGGTCGAACGGCTCACGCTTCGACGTTCCGGCAGCGCTTCCTGTTTTGAATAGTGATTACTGAAATACTATTGTGCACTCCTCGCCGCAGCAAACGCAGCATGCACTACCGAGACTGAAGACGAAAGGGCGCAAGTGACGCGAAGGGTCACACGGTTACGAGAAGCATCTGGACCGTCGGGTAGACAGCATCAGGCAGCAGTAGTGGAGAGGATTCTGCCCGAACGGTTTCGTAACCACCCGGAGTCGCACGGTTGGATTTCGATGCAATAAGGGAATGTACCCCTTAGAGTACATGGCTAGCTAGGTCGCTTCGAATTCCCCTGTACTCTTATTTATATTCCTTGTACCGCATGTTTTTATCATCTCAGGCATTTATATTCACTCTGCTATTGAGGTCAAGGGCCCACCACCACTAGACTAGAAGTGTGCGAACCTTCCCGAGGTGATCCTGGTTACGATCAACTTCTGATTGCAACACTTCCGCGCCAGTCGACGTGTTGCGTGCAGGAGATGGTGCGGCATGACCATGAGAAATTGACGCGAATTCACGAAGCTGTTGCATTCAGCTCGTACCTGACGATTTTCCAGCGTCAACGCTTCGAGTTGGCGCATGAGTTGAGCAAGCGCATTGCCCATGTCGTTGGGGAGAGCGTTCATGGTCTCGTCCATGTTGACTCGACGACTCCAAGTCTGCAAGTCGGCACCGCGGGACGATGACGTCGTAGTCTCGTCGTCGACGGTCGCTCGTTGGAAGTCGCTCCCCACGAAGGCTCCTGATACCAAGTCTTACGCCCCTTGGCCTAAATCCGATAAGGAATAGCGGGCAGGGCCTCAGATGTCAGTAATTTTACCCTGAATTCCTGAAGTTTGACCCTTGTTTTTTATTGCGACCCTGATGGATCAGCCTTTTTTTTTTTAGCGACCCTGATGGATCAGTGTTTTATTTTGTAGAACACTGAATTTTCAGTGTTTTGTGTTTGCATACACTGACGAGTCAATGTTGTATCCAAGTTGACCCTGGAACCGAAACTCCGTGTTTCTCGCATATTGGCGCGCCGTCATCATTCATGTACCCAACAAGGATCGACGCCACCCTGCGGCTCAATTTTGGCCAGTGTTTGCGCAAAGGCGCTATTTGATTGGCTGTTCCAGGTGTTTCAATGCTTCGTTGACTCTGACTTCTGCCAACACTTGTTATTCTTGGCCTCGCTGCGCACAAATCCAGAGTGGACCCGTGGTGAATGGTGGCATCAGATCAGATTCACCACGCAAGGGCGTGGTTGTGCGGTTCGACCAGCCGACCCATGCCGCAGGGGGTCTCGTTCATTCATGCTCTCCACATCACGACCGGGCCTGCACCCTTTCTTTAATTATTCTATCAGTGGTTTTTGAAAAGGCACCCTGTGTGATCAGTGTTTTTTTCTTACTAGCCCTGAAAAATCAGTGTTTCTAAGCAGGCAACACTGAAGATCAGTGTTACACCTCCAAGGGACCCTGAGTGCTCAGGGTACCCTAAAACGAATATGAGGCCCTGATAGCGGGGTTGACTAAATTGAGGATAAGCGCGGCGGAAGACTTTGGCGAAAGAGAGTGTTGGCGAAATGGGCGAAGAAGTAACTCAGTAATTGAAGAGTTGAATGAGAATTTATTGATATTGGTGGATACAAGCAAGGATGATATAGCATGCAAGGTCGAATGCCAGAAAGTACTTCGTGGGACTAGAAAGTAGAGCAAGAAAGGTAGAGTGCCACGTGGCACTAGGAAATCTGAAAAGATAAGGATAAGGATGGGGTTGGAAGTACTGTTCAAAGGGAACAGTAAACACCCCTCTAACAATACAGTGTTGCCATACATCACACTCTAAACATTAAGTTGCACTGGGTGCATGCGCATTGTATGCAAGTCGTGCGACAGCTCGCCCACCACCCAGTACTTCTCTGCGTTTTTCAGGAGCTTGCCAAAATGGTACTCCTGTTGCGCGTCAACAATTGCACACACCAGCTCTGGCTGAAACCCTGCCCGCACCCTTGGGCTGGCAGCAGCATCTGGACTCTGCATGGCGGGGGCAGGAGGGAATGGACCGTGTGCAGCGATGCTGTGCACTGGGAGTGGCGGCGGCTGTGGGGAGTCCAAGTCCCGCACCATGATGGCTCGCACCCATGGCGTGCTGCCCTGCCTGTGCTTGTCCGCGCCAAGGGATGTGATGGTGATGGTGAAGAAATCGGGTGACAGGACAATGGTCTCTGTGTGAGTTGCGCCTCTCATCCAGCCCTGCGCCAAGCTGACACAAGTGGGGAACGTGGAACGTGGGAGGCAGAGAGGAGGGAGTGTGCATGAGACGTGAAAAGCTGGGAGTGTAATTTGGAGTTGGATGCTTTGGTGTCGATGGGGGGCTTGCATGTGCGACATGTGGTGATAAGTGCGATGTGAGAAGCCATTGTGACATGCTTCACCCATTGTGACATGCTTCACCCATTGTGACATGCTTCAGCTACCATATCAACACATAAGCTGTCTGATGCTCACAATGTGAGGTCCCCCACTGAATTTCCGTATGCAAGCTACCTACTCGAATTCTGCAACGGACTTACATAGCAGACACGATGAATACGAAAAAGATGCAGATAGTGAAGGGCAGGAGCAATGCGGCTGGCACTGTGAATAAAGCCTGCAAGGGCAGGTCGCGTGAGGGGACACACGGTGGAGTGGGATAAGGAGGGGTCGGGCGAGAGGGAGGGTTGAGCAGGGGGGCGAGAAGGGGGGAATTGGGAGTGGGGAAGGGGGATATGGGGCGGTGACTGAAATGATTGCCTCGGTTATGTTCAGCTGGAGAATTTGGTTGGGACTTGGACCTGTTTGGTGGGAAATGAATGGGGCGATGGTCACACTGAAGCTAGCTTGCAAGAGAGTCGCGCGGGGAGGGCAGAGGGGGGAATGGGAAGAGAGTTTGGAAGCGAGAGCAGGTGGGGAAGGGGATGGGAGGAGCTCAGATGAGAAGCAACACGACCCGATGTGAGGCGCTTGCATGGAAGGGAATGCGCGGGAGGGGCTTGCTGGGAGGGGATGCTGGGAGGGGAGCGACCTACAGAAAAGAAAAGGAGGGAGGGAGTGGCTCTTCACACGCGCAGTGAGGGGGTGGGCGTGTACGCAAGGGACGAGCAGGCGGCTTACGACAAAGGCGGTGAGGATCCACCCGCAGGTGCCGTCCTGGTAGTACTTCGCTGGGGTATGCGCACCTCTAGCGCCCCGCCCTCCCCGTGTGAGATCACCTGCGGACGGCGCAGCATGTGGGGAAGATGGGCGCTGTTGGAAAGAAAATACTGAAAAGTCCTCAACAAGTCCCTGTGGAGCAGGATGTACTATCTATTACCCGCGCGCGGTGCACTGTCACTACTAGTACTAGGTGCATGATCCCTGCCAAAGAAGAATAAACGTTGTGCGTACCACGTTGCTATCTTCGGGTTTGGCGCAACGAGCAGGCCACGGCGACGCCACGGGAATTCCCATCACGGGGTGTGGCGGAACGGAAGGCGGAAAATGTTGGGGATGAGGCGGATCATATTGAGGGAGAGGCGGAAGGTATTGAGGGAGAAGCGGAACATTATATTGGGGAAGAGGCGAAACAGGGTGCGGGATAGTGGCTGCGTGGCCGGCAGGCGGGGTATTTGCGTCGCTAATCCGAGGCGCGGGTTCCGCTTCGACTCGTTCGGGCGTTGCAGATGTAAGTGGCTCTTCTTGCGACGCGCTCGCCAGGTTCGCTGTCATTGTGGCTAGACTTGAATGTAATCTTTTCGACGGACTAGACGGATGCATTTCTGCAATTGTGGGAGAAAGAAGCTGCGAGGTGTAGGCAAAATAGTGGTTGACAAAATTACGGAATCAACTCTGCTGGTGAAATTTCTACACCATCAGATGTGGATAGGAGGGGAGGGAGGCAAGAAAGGGGTTGGTGGGGAAGGAGGGGAGGGGGGGTGGAAGGATCGCCGCTTGCAATGTTGCTGCGCGCGCAATGTGCGTCACTTGCGACCGTAAACTCAACGTGCGGGAGCACGCCTTGCGTCCAGGGCTGTCGATATCCCTGGGGGCAGAACTTGAGGCCCTCAGCTGCTGAAATTCTGACCCTGATTTTCAGGGAGGTGACCAAATTTTTGCCCTTAACGGTCATGGGTGCAGGCCGAAGTGTAAACTTGAAATCTGGGCTCCAAAGTGTTGTGTACTTAACTAACCTAAACAGCATCCTAGACAAGAAAATCACATACTCTCACTGCTAACTACTCCAGTCAACCTGTATGTCGCCACTTCCAACTACAACTACAGCTGCACTACCTACTGCATTTCTACTCATCTGCTGACTTCGACACTAGACACACACTAGATTGGATAGAAATCGAGTGAAACATCCTCCACCTAGCGCTCTATTGTGCAACTTTTATGGAAAAGGGGGGGGGGGGTTAGGGGGGGGTTTGTTCCGCAAGATTTTGGGGGGGGGGCTCTGCGGAACAGAAAGTATATCTTAGATTCAGGGGACGGCCCAGATAGAGCACCTAACGCGTCCGGGGAGGGCTAAACGATGCCCTAAACTGGCACGGGTACCAGTCGAATCAAACCCTTAAAATGGTCGAGCTGCGCCAAACATAACCCGGAATGTTCAGGGCGTTAAGGGCAAATGCCCTTGAATCGACAGCCCTGCTTGCGTCGCCTGCCCCCCGCTTAGGTGGGTCGCCTGCGTTGCATCGCTGGCATGAAGTCCCGCGCGTTGACTCCAGCGACCGTACAGGTGATGATTCACTAACATAATGCTCAACATAGAACACGGTCATATGCAGTCAGAGTATGAACTCTCACATAGCAAACACATATGGTCTCTTTCCACCTTGTCTCCCTCATATTACAATACTTGTCCATGAGTGTCCATGTGATACTCAGGCTGTCTAAGAAGCCTCAGCCGTTAAAAGGCCTAGGAAATTCCCATTGGTTGGTGTGGGTATCCCAATGTGTTCCTTGTTTTGCGAACCAGAATCCTGGATATTTCCTTTTCCAAGGCATTCAATGCCTGCTGCTCAGCTTCCTGCTCCGGAGGGGAGGGGTCTTCCACAGCATACAGTGCTACCATATTTCACACTCTAAACATTCTGTTGTGCTGGTTGCATGTGCATGGTATGCAAGTGGTGTGACAGCTCACCCACCACCCACTGCTTCTCTGCATCACTCAAGGTCTTGCCAAACCGGTACTCCTCCTGCTCCATTCCAACAATCATGCACACCAGCTCTGGCGGCTTGGCTGCTGAGCGCGCGGCAGGGGCAGGCGGAGGAGGGATGGGACTTCGGGCAGCGAGGCTATGCACTGGCGGAGGTGGCAGCGGCTGTGGGGAGTTCAAGTTCTGCACCACAATGGCGCGCACCATTGGCGTGCTGCCCTGCTTCCGCTTGGTCGTGCCGGAGTTTTTGGTGGTGATGGTGAAGTGCTCGGGTGACAGCACAATGGTCTCCGAGCGAGTTGCGCTGTTAATCCATGCAAAGGAGCAACTGAGAGGGGCGAGGCACGGTCGGGAGCAGCACGGGCGCGGATGTAGAGAGAAAGAGAGGAGTGGGTTTGTGGTGTGAAAAGCAGGTAGTGGAATATTGGGACTGGACGCGTGGATGTGATGTGGAGCGCGCTGCGCGCATGTGCAACATGTGGCAAAAAGTGCGATGTGAGAAGTCATTGTGACATGCTTCAGCATATTAACATAAGCAGTCTGACCTCGGATGCAGGATGTGCAAGTATCCACTCAATTTCGGTATGCAAGCTACCTACTGAGATTCCGCGATGCACTCACGCAGTGAAGCCGCAGAGGATGCAGATGGTGAAAGGCAGGAAAATGGCGACCGCCACTGCGATTGCAATCTGCGAGGGAGGGGCGAGGTGAGAAGGCGGGGCGAGGTGAGAAGGCGGGGCGAGGTGAGAAGGCGGGGCGAGGTGAGAAGGCGGGGCGAGGTGAGAAGGCGGGGCGAGGTGAGAAGGCGGGGCGAGGTGAGAAGGCGGGGCGAGGTGCGAAGGCGGGGCGAGGTGAGAAGGCGGGGCGAGGTGCGAAGGCGCACGGTGGAGCGGGATAAGGAGAGGTCGGGTGAGAGGGAGGGTTGAACAGGGGGGTGATTGGGCGCGAGAGAGGGGGGATGGAGAAGGGAGGGGGACGATGACCGATAATCCCTTCGGTTTTGTTCGGTTGGAGGATTTGATTAAGACTCGGACCCTGTTTGGTGGGGAAGAGAGAGCAGGTGGGAAGGGGGGTGGGAGGGGCTCAGATGAGAAGGAACACGACGCGATGTGAGGAGCTTGCATGCGACGGAATGCGGCGGGAGGGGATGCTGGTCGAGGCTTGCTCGGAGGGGCTTGCTGGGAGGGTCGCATGGGAGGGTCGCATGGGTGGGGTCGCACGGGAGAGTCGCATGGGAGAGGAGCGAGCGACAAGAAACGGAGAGAGAGAGAGGGCGGTTCAGAAGAAGCGCAGTGAGGGGGTGGGCCTGCAAGCAAGGAAGTGAGCAGGCGGCTTACGAGGAAGGGAGTGAGCAGGCGGCTTACGAGGAAGGGAGTGAGCAGGCGGCTTACGAGGAAGGGCGTGAGGATGCAGAGGATCCACCCCACGGCGCCGTCCGGGAAGAACCCCGCTGCGGGGATGCGCGCCTCGAGCGCCCCGCCCTCCTTATGCGAGATCACCTGCGGGCGGCGCAGCGGATAGGGGGACAATGGGCGCTGTTGAACCTGCCGTCGCCGGGTTTGGGTGGCGCTATATGTGCTCTAGCCCTGAGAGAGCAGAATGGCTACGTGCGGACCGACACGCGACGCGGGCAATGCGATGGGGGGAGAAAAACACGGAGATTCCTCAACGAGGCTCCGAGATTGCCTACGAGGCAAGATATAGTGTCTGGTACCCACGCGCGGCGCACTTGTGCTACTAGTAGCAGCGGCATGATACCTGCTATACAAGGAGAGACGTTGTGCGTACCACGCGGCTGTTCTCGGGTTTCGCGCAACGAGCAGGGAACGGTGACGCCACGGGAGTGCCCATCACGGCGACTGGCGGAACAGGTTGGGGGTATGGCGGAGCAGCTTGGAGATATGGCGGAGCAGGTTGGGGATAAGGCGGAGCAGGTCCGGGATAAGGCGGAGCAGGTCCGGGATAAGGCGGAGCATTTTGAGGATATGGCGGAACGTTTTGGGGATAAGGCGGAACAGGTTGGGGATAAGGCGGAACAGGTCCGGGATAAGGCGGAACAGGTCCAGGATAAGGCGGAGGTCCGGGATAAGGTGGAACAGGTTGGGGATATGGCGGAACCGGTTGGGACGATGCAGCCGCCGCCGTTTGTGGGTCTCTTTGCGGCGCGCTCGGGAAGTCCGCTGTCATTGTGGCTCTCGTCAATCTCCCTCTTTCGGCGTGCCGGATGGAAGCTCTCTTACAATGGTGGGAGGAGGAAGGTGCGACGCGTAGGGGAAATGGTGGCTTATGAGATGTAGGATGGGAATCGACTCTGCTGGCAAAACTTCTATTCTACCAGCAGCAGTGTCGGCTTATGTGTTCCTGGGGAGGGGAGCAGGGAGGGAGGTGGGGGGAGGGGGGGAAAGGGGGGTTGGGGGAAGAGGAAGGGGGAATTGTGTTGGTTTCGCCGCTTGCCAGCCACCTTTGCGCCATGCGCATGTGTCGCTTGGAACGGTACACTATTTTTGACGTGCTGCAGCACGTCTTGCGATGCGATCCCTATTGGTTGATGTGGTTGTCCGTCGCCTTGCTGGAGCGTGGAGTCCGGAATATTAATAGTACCGGTATGCAGTGCAGAGTGTGGAGTATGCAGCATGCTAGTTATCAAGTAAAAGGTATGAACTCTTACTATAGCAAGCATTTTCACATTTCATCTATTGCTTCACAATGCCATTCTCTGTGCACTTTCTTTGAGTGGACATTGTTCACCAGAAGGCACGTGTAATTTGCAGAACCGTTATCGCACAACACGGCAATATACACCCTTGAAGCTAAAAAACAAGGTCTATGACTAAAAGAGACTGTGTACCGTACTGTATGCTAGCTCATGATTCGTAGAACGAACTTAACTCAACTGTTATTGCTGATAAACTAACTCGCCTCCTATGACCTGGCTTCAAATGCGTAACAGGTTTGCTGTTGGCTATGCAATCCCCTGTACTAGTAGCTTGAGGACTTACGGATTTCCACTTGCCTGCCTTTCCATCCGCTTGCCATGCAGCCTGGAGCATGCTTCGGGGGCTTGCTGCTGCAGAAGGAACAGTCGAATTGTCTAGAGTGGAAGCGTGTGGAACACTCTCGCTTGCGGAACGGGAGAACCCTAGTCTGCTACCTGAGGTATGCAATGGAAATGGTTCCTGTTGGCGGCGTGGGAACACCAAAGAGTTGCATGTGCTGCTGCCTGCCAACCCCTTCTTACTGTTGAGTGATATTGTTGCTCGTGTGGCAACCACAGAACCTTCCCCCTCAGCACCTGATTGGTCCCACAGAAAACCCCTTTCCGCCTGTGTCCGCTGTTGGTGTCCGTTTCTTCGCTGGTTGATATGTATTTTCCCCAAGTCCATCACCGTCCGTATGCTTTCCATTTCGCTAACTCCAGTAAACGCCACATTCACCACTGCAGAATCGAGGCTCTTTCTACTCCGATTCTTCAACACAACGCAGGGCGCATTCCCTGAATGCCCCTTGACAGCAGCAAGAGGTCCTGACACTGCTGCTCTGGGACTTGGAAGCAGCGGTTCACCTGATCTAATCCCGTCATTCGGAAGCATATCGGCACAGCCGGGCATATTGAAGCGCCCCTCATGCTCATCAGCAGCTGCCACACCACATGTCTTGTCGTTGGAGGTGGAAATGATATCGCCACCAGCCCATCGGAAACTGCTGTTACTCCCGCTATGAGACATGAACTTGGGGTTACAGCCTTTGCCAGTCCCAACCTTTGGGAAACAATTGCTGCTCGATCTGATGATACTGCTGCTACCGCTGTTCCGAGTCCCATCCTTGGCAGTACGAATGCTGCCAGACCTGACAATGCTGTCACAGCCACGACCGGCCTTGAGAAAACACCCACTTCTTGATCTAGCAATACTGCTACAGCCGCTGCCAGTCCCATCCTTGGGGCTACAACCGCTGCCAGACCCCATGATGGTGCTATAGGCGCTGCTGGTTTCGCCCTTGGGACTATAGCTGACTTGGCCAGGCCTGGAGAGCACTTTGGCGAAGGCGTTCGACACGAGGGCGCGCTCTGCGGCGCGGTGCTGCGCGACCAGCCCGTACAGCTTCACGAACTCCTCGTCCGACTCGTACCCCTCGCTCTCGCTCTCCCGTCGCACAATGCCCTCCCTCTCCCTGCCTTTCCCCTCGCGCCCCATCCTGGCAGGGACCGTTTGCTGCTCTCTCTCCACGGATGCCGCTGCAGCGGCATCAGACAGATAAGAAGGGACTGCGGGACGGTGCAGCGCGGTGAATGATTCTGCCCGGCTGAGCTCCACTGCGGCGCTCACGCTGACGCTGCGGGGGTAGTCGCCGCTGCCGCCCAGGGAGTACCGGCGAGCGCGATCCGTGCGCCTCAGCAACGGCGGCCCCGTGTCGAGCGACGCGATTTTCCTCGGCTGGCCTCTGTTGATGCTCGAGCCATGACTCACGCTCGTCTTGCTTCCACCGGCTTTCTCTCGGCACGCTGCAGAAACCGCATCCAGAGCGGGAGGATACCTTGTCTTGGGGCTGAAAGCTGAGCTGTCTTGCGAGGGGGTTGCCGTTGAGGGAGATAAGGGAGGGAGGTCGACGGGGCTGGTGGGAGAAGGAGAGCTTGTGGCACAAGGTGAAGTGAGCGGCTGAGCGCTGGCGGTGTTTGACGTGGAAAAAAGCGAAGTAAGGTCCGGCAGGGACGGCGAAAGGCGCATCCTTGGGGTTGCCAGCGTGGATGGCCGTTTGGGTGACTTCATGCTGCTGCTTGCGCTCCACCCGCCGCGACCATCCGAAACGGCATGGCTTCGCAAGGAGGATCCTTTTTCGCGGCCTTGGATCAATGGGTCTTCTAGAGCAAACATGACGGTGGGGGCCCCACGTGAGTCACAAGTCGAAAGTTGGGTTGCTTGGTGGGCTCACAGGATGCAAGAGCGACGGCCTTGCTCTGGTCATGGAGTGGCGTCGGTCTACCACGGAAGAGCAGCTGCGGTGAGCAAGTTCTAGGAACAACTGGAATGCCCATAGTGCGCTGTAGCGAGGTGAGCAGCAAGATTCGAATCCAAGCAAAGCTTGGGATTGGACGCGATGGCAGCAGGCGGTGCGCAAGAACGCAGAAGCGAAGGAGAAACATGACCGGGTGGTGGCGGCTAGGAGAGCTGTTGAACAGGTGAAGCCGCAGGCGCTGAGCCAGAGGGGAATGAACGGACGACGCGGATGCATCAGGCCAAGCCTGATGCCTCACGATCTCAAATCTTGTGCTACTGTGTCTCAATCCTCGACTCCACTCCCTTGATCTTGCCGAGCTCCGCGAGGAGCTGTTTGTGACCCGAGGGGGTCAGGTTGTGGCCAGAACACAACTGTCAGTCCCGCGCAACTGTAAAGGGTCACTGTAACAATGTATTCTGTCGTAAACTGTTCGTGAAAACCGACTTGGTCGCCGTGTTGGAACAGAAGCAGGCGCAGGTGGGTTCTGCCAGTCATGATAATCCACGGTGCTCCCTGATTCGCTGCGAACGAACGCAATGGCATTTTGATCGCGGGTACACGCCAATATTATTTCCTCCATGTTAAAACTTCGTATTTCACACAGATTGACGATGTTGCACATGTCGCAGCACACAGTATAGCGAACATCCCGTGGGTAACATCACCGCCCTGTGCCTCCTATGCTGCCCGTATGCTATCGTGTAGCCGACGTCAGGCGACACGGTCAACCGTAATATCTGAGCGTCTTCCTCATGACGGATGACGTCACCACGAGACGCGATGCTCATGGCTCCACCTCACAACATGACGGCCAGCCGATACTGCTGGCGTCGACCATCGCCGCGTTAGGAGGCCTCGGCCTGCCGCCCGACTTGGAGGGGCTCCTTACCCGCTGTGATGAGAGAGACTGCGGTGCTTCCGGCGGGGATGCTGGTTCCGCGGAACAGGCGGAGCGGAAGGCTCTGGGGGAGGAAATCGGAAGTCGGTGCGGGGATGCGGCGGAGGAGGTGCTCACGCACGAGGCGACCGGAGGCCACCGGAAAGGGCAGGCGCGCGTTGAAGAAGGATTGGCGGAGCGGAAAGCGCCCATCTTCCGCGTGGCCCCGCTGACGGGGCTAGTGCCTGCACACTTGCACGAGCACTGGGGAAGGCGGAGGCGTGTGGGGGGAGCGAAGGGGGAGGGGCGGTGGGTGTCGGAGAGGGCGAGTGAGGAGGAGAGCGTGGTGGCAGTGGGGGAGGCGGGGCTGAGGCGACTGGGGATGTGCGCTGGGGACATGGTGAGGGGATGGGGGACATGGTGAGGGGGATGGGGGACATGGTGAGGGGGATGGGGGACGTGATGAGGCGGTGGGGGGAATGATGAGATGGTGGGTGGCATGAACGGCAGGTGGTGACTTGGGATCTTGCTGCGCGTGTCTCGCTGTGAGCATCACTTGCCGTTAGCTCAATGCCTTGCTCTCCCGCTTCTTGAATCTCCTCTTCCCTCCCCCCCCCCACTTTCCCCCACACCCCGGCAGGTGGCGGTGGCGCTGCTGCCATGCGCGCCAGGCGCACTGGCCGCCCAAGTCATGCCCGCGCGCCTGCTGTTGTGGCGAGAAGGGGCGCGGATGGGCAGTGCCGGCAGGCGAGGCAGCAGGCGCAGGAGTAGGAGTGGGGCTGGCGGGGGCACGGCGTGGGTGTCGCCGCTGCTGGGGTTCAACCTGGGCCTGCCGGGGGGAGTGATGGGTGGGTGGGAGTGCAGTGAGGGGGCGGAGGGGAACGATGAGCTGGGCGAGTCTGCGGACGAGCAGGGGAGTGAAAAAGAGGAGGAGGAGGAGGAGGAAGAGGAGGGGGAGGAGGAGGAGGAGGAGGAGGAGAGGCAGGGAGCGTTCAGGGCAGGGCGGGCAGCATGGGCGGGCATCCGCGTGCTCATTCTGCCCCTCCCGGCCCTGCCCTTGCTCGAGGCCTCCTCCATGCAGCCCCCCCTGGCAGCGGATGCGGATGGGCGCACGGCGGAAGGGCAGATGGCCGTGCGCGTGGGCGTGGCCAGTGTGGTGCGCCTTGCCCCCGTGCGCTGCCCCTCCGCCCTCCCCCCCTGGCACGCTGTAGGGGGAAGGGGAAGAAGGGGGGAGGGAGGGCGGGGGGGAGAGAGGGGAGATGGCAGTGGGGCGGTGGGAGGGGGGATGGGGAGGAGAGGGAGGGGGAAGGAGGGGCATGCATGGGCCAATAGGCATGTGCCACGTCATGAGGAGAGAGAGGGGAGGCAGGATGGGGAGGAGCAACGCGAGCATGCGGGCATGGGTGGGGAGGAAGGGTCAGAGGAGGAAGGGGAGGGGGACGAGGAGGAGGAGGAGGAGGAGAGGGCGTGGGAGAGGGAGGCGAGGCAGAGGGAGGTGGACGAGGGGGTGCGGCGGGCTGTGGTGCGGCAGCGGTTCGTTGCGGTGGGCGCGTGTTTCCTCACGGTGCTGGGCGGTCGAGAGAGCGTGGCTCGCATGGTACGATCAGTTATAGTGGGTCGAGGGGCAAGGAGAGGAAGGGGGGGCGGACGGGAGGAGGAGGAACGGGGAACAGAAGAGGAGGAGGAGGAGGAGGAGGAGGAGGAGGAGGAGGAGGAGGAGGAGGAGGAGGAGGAGGAGGAGGAGGAGGGGGAGGAGAGGGAGGCACGGGTGGTGTATCTGAGGGTGATAGCAGTGCACCCCCCCGGCAGCACCATCTACGCCATCCACCCCCACTCTACCCACCTCCTCCTCTCCGCCTCCCTGCCCTCGCCCCTGCCACCTGTCGCGCTGCGATTCGCCGGGGATCTAGCAGGGTATCCCCTGCCGCCCGAGGCTGGGCGGCTGGTTCGGGTGCTGGCTTCAGCGCTGCTGCCCGTGGGGTGGGGGAGGGAGGGCGGGGAGGGCGGCGGAGGGAGCAGTGTGGTGGGGGGCATGGCGCCATCCGCGTTCAGCTGCGCACTGCTGCTCGTTGGGCCCTCTGGTACGCGCTGCTGCTGCTGCTGCTGCTGCTGCTGCTGTGTGCGCACGTTTGGCGCGTGTGTTGAATGATCCATGTGTCACGAGACTCACTAGCAGCGACAGCAGTATGTGCTGCCCGGCCACACCAGGAGAGTTGTTCTAGCAGCACACTGCACCCCAAGCACGACCCACCCACACGCCATCCAACCCACACTCATAGCCCACCTGCACCCCACCCACACACCTCCCCACAATAAATTCCCTCCCCCCCCATGCGCGGGTCACCAGGAGTGGGGCGGCGAACAGCAGTGCGGGCGGCGTGCCAGCGCATGGGCGTGCACTGCGTGGAGTACAGCAGTGCCGACCTCGCTGCCTCCTCCAATGAAAGCGCGACAGCTGGCGCTCTGCAAGCCGCCTTTGAAACAGCGAGCCGGTGAGAAGTGGCAGTGGGCTGGGCTGGTGGGGTGTCACTGTGACATTGCATCCGACAGCTTGTGCTGCTGTCCGTCTGTGCCTGTTTTGAAGGGGAGTCCTGCCTGCAACATGACAGCAGGCGGGTGTTCCACCCTCCATCCCATCATCGCACCGCTCTCCTCGCCTCATCTCCCTTGTCCACCATTTCATGTCCACCGCCTCCCTTCAACCCCTTGCCACCCCCTCAGCTACTCGCCAGCAGTGCTGCTGCTGCGCCGCTTCTCTGCCCTCCTCACGGCCTCAGACGCCCCCGACGCCTCTTCCTCCGCCGCGCTGTCTCTGCTCGCCCACACGCTGCGCGGCTGCATCCGCTTCTTCTCCCGCCCCCATGGGCCTTCCAGTGCAGCCCCACCCCCCTTGCACACTGCACCAGCCGCAGCTGTAGCAGGAGGGGGAGGTGGAGGGGGAGGTGGAGGGGGAGGGGGGGTGGCGGTGGTGGTGGTGGCGTGTGTGGAGGAGGGGGAGGCGGAGGGCATGGGCGTGGCGGTGAGGCGGTGCTTCACTCACGAGCTCGCTGTGGGGCCGCCGGATGAGATGCACCGCCGCCAGCTGCTGCGCTTCTTCCTCAAGGTGGGTCCCGGGCGACAGACTGAATCACCTCCTCCCTCTCCTCTCGCAACTGCCTCCACGCATCCATCTCACCTCATTGCCCCTCCCTTTCTTCTGTCCTTGCTCTCTTCCCATTGCTTCCCCCATGTCTCTCCCCACCACCACCACCGCCTGTCCCCAGAGCCCTCCGTCCAGCGCTACAGCCGGGGACGAGGAGGAGGACGTGGCGGCGGCTGTAGCGCGGGAGACGGCGGGGCTGCTGCCGCGCGACCTCAGGGCGCTGGCCGCCGACGCTGCTGCCGCTGCCATCTGCCGCTCGCTGCCCCCCGGGGGAGCTGCCATGCAGACGGCTGTGGGCAGTGCAGGCGTGGCAGAGGGTCGGGGTGGGGAGGATGGCAGTGCGGAGACGAGCAGCGGATGCGAGGGGGAGGGGAAGGCGGAGGTAGAGGGGGTCAGGGAAGTGGAGGGCGGAAGGGGAGCGGAGGGGATGGCGGGGGGGCTGGCGGTGGGGAGGGGCGACATGGAGGAGGCGATGGGGGCGGTGAAGCGGCGCGTGGCGACGGTGATCGGCACTCCCAAGGTGCCCAACGTGCGGTGGGATGACATCGGTGGGCTGGAGGACGTCAAGGCTGCCATCCTCGACACCATCCAGGTGATTCCCCAGGCTCAGGTGCCTTCCACAGCAAGCAGGTGAACTTTGTGCCGTAGGCCTTTCATTCCCTCCCTTGATTCCGCACCCCATCGTGTGTGTGTGTCCCCTTTCTCCTATCCCATCTCCCATCCCCCCCCGCACCCGCACAGCTGCCGCTGCGGCACCGGCATCTGTTTGCGTCTGGGCTGCGGCAGCGCTCCGGTGTGCTGCTGTACGGCCCGCCGGGCACAGGCAAGGTGAGTGGTGAGGGGTGGCAGCGTGGAGAGAGAAGGCACGTTGGGGGTGGGGGGTGTGTGGGGCATAGGAGGACACACAGGAGCATGTCATGCGAGTCAATGGGTGTTGCACCCTTTGGTGAAGGAGCTCACATTCTTCACACTGCTTGCGCTGCTCGTTTTCTTCCAAGGCAGTGCATCGTTGTGCGAGCGATTGACTGCCAGCCAAGCAATGGGACACCATGCTTGCACCGCTCCCCCATCCGCCTTCCCCGCACCACCATGTGCACTGCCTCCCATCAGACGCTGCTGGCCAAGGCGGTGGCAACGGAGTGCTCGTTGAACTTCCTGAGCGTCAAGGGTCCGGAGCTGATCAACATGTACGTGGGCGAGTCGGAGCGCAACGTGCGCGCCATCTTCGCCAAGGCGCGCGCCGCCCGCCCTTGCGTCGTCTTCTTTGATGAGCTCGATGCCCTTGCGCCTGCCAGAGGGGCTGCTGGGGACTCAGGGGGTGTCATGGACCGCGTTGTCTCCCAGGTGGGCCTCTGTTGTCTACCAGGTGGCCCTATGTTGTCTCCCAGGTGGGTGCCTGTTGTCTCCCAGGTGGGTCACTGTTATCTCTCAGGTGGGTCTCTCTTGTTACAGGTGGGTCTCTCTTGTTACAGGTGGGTCTCTCTTGTTACAGGTGGGTCTCTCTTGTTACAGGAGGGTCTCTCTTGTTACAGGTGGGTCTCTCTTGTTACAGGTGGGTCTCTCTTGTTACAGGTGGGTCTCTCTTATTACAGGTGGGTCTCTCTTGTTACAGGTGGGTCTCTCTTGTCTGTAAGGTGGGGTCTCTGTTGTCTCACGTGCATTGAAGAAGCAAGGGATGATGGCAAGGCGGGCATATAACAACGGTCTCCACATTCTCTCACTCACTTGCCCTCCCTGCCTCCCACATACCCCTGCTTATCTCTCTCTTCCCCCTTGCCAGCTGCTGGCTGAGGTGGATGGCATAGGGTCCACGTCAGCATCGGATCTATTCCTGGTGGGCGCCAGCAACCGCCCCGACCTCATCGACCCCGCGCTGCTGCGCCCGGGCCGCTTCGACAAGCTGCTCTATGTGGGCGCTGGCTCCACCGCTCTGCACCGCTGCAGGTGGGACTAACAGGGATGGCTTTCGAGTGAAGAGGGAGGCAGTACACACTGAAAAAATGTACTTTGTGCTAAAAGTGTGCAGCAGAAGCCCTCTCACTGCACTAAAATCCCTCACCCTCTCTCTGCCCCATGCATTCTCTCCCTCCACCCACCCCCCCTCCCCCCCCCACGCGCCCCACAGGGTGCTGCAGGCGCTGACACGGCGCTTCCAGCTGGCTGGGGGGGTGTCGCTGCAGAGCATCGCCGACCGCTGCCCCGCCACGCTCACGGGTGCCGACCTCTACGCCCTCGCTGCCGACGCGTGGCTCTGCGCTGCCAAGCGCACCGTGGGGCACGCCAACACACCAGGCCGCTCTGCTGCACGCTCCAAGGGGCACGGCGTGGAAGGTGGAAAGGAGGGTGAAGGGGACGATGCGGTGGTGGTGGAGCAAGCAGACTTCCTCAAGGTACTTGCCACTCCCTCCCCTTGCCTCTCCTCTCTTGACATTCTTGTGGCATTCAGGTGCCCCGCCTCCCTGCCCACCTCGATCTGCCATCCTCCATTTGGTTTCCATCGAATTCATTTCTCTTATGTGTCACGTATTCATTTTCTGCCAGGCCTTGTCACAGCTGACCCCCTCATTATCGGCGTCAGAGCTGCATCGCTACGAGGCTTTACGAGAGCAGTTCCAGCCAGCAGGGCGAAGCCGTGTCGCGGCTTAGGCGGCTGATGGCATGTCTAAAGTGTTCAGTTATATGACAAACTCGCTCACATTACATGATCTACTACGCTGGAAACTGATAAGTATTCTGCTTTACTGTATAGTAATGTACAAATATGTTCTCCCAGTGTTGCTGTAGTCATCATGCTTCGCCACGCACAGAACCGTGAAGTGCACCCACGTCATGCCAAGAAGATCCACCCTTTTCGGCAAAATTATCTGGGCGTTGAGTTTCGACTCTGTTTCACTCCGCTCAAATCATGTTTTCCCATCACGTGTTGAAACTGCACTTCTGTGATGCCTTGCAACTCTTCATGGCTCGCTGGACAAAGTGGTCAGACCACCAAGCTTGTACCTCATCATTTCACGAAACTACTTCAACCCGGAACCAAAACTTTTTCCCGTAGGTGCTTGGGAGAAAAACTGCAGAAGGGGAAACCGGAAACTCCTGCACCGCAACATGCGCGTCTGGAAACATTGCAGCTTTCGACCCAACGACCGCGTTCCCTGCCAGGTGCCCAACCTTGGAGTCTACTACACCCTCATTCTCAGTCTTCTCACCGGCGGAAGCAGTGGCTACAGTGTCTGGACGTAGCGGGCTGGTGAGATAACTCGGTTGCGGGCCAAGTCGCACGAGGCGACGAAACCAGACTTGGGCCGTAAAATTCCGTTAACGCTGAATAACTTTTCTAACCGTTTAGAAAACAGCAGTACCATTTTAGAACGTATAGAACCTTGACTAAACGCCCTGGGTCAAACTGTCAGTATAGCGCATGTGATAGGACCTTCTTTGGTCCGCTGCTGCTACACTAAGCGTCTCGGTCAGTATAACATATGCCAGTCTAACGAGAACGAGGGTGTAGTTGGAGCTGTTGAGGTGCCCAACAGCCACGCTGACCAGAGAGGGAGCACAAGAGCTCTCCAGCGGAACTACCTGAAGCTTGCTTCAAGCCAGTAGAGCTTCAATTTCATCAGCCCGATGTTCATTGATGCATTTTGGGGAAAGATAGACGGAAATACCGCTACCAAATTTCCGTCTCTTGATGGCCCCAGCGGTTTTCGTTTGATCAATAATTCAGGCGTCGTTCAAGCCAACTTTGGGCTAGGCGCTACGAATGCTGGATTATCCGTCTGGTTTTCAACATAAGTGCAATGGCTGAGCGGAGCGGCACGTGCTTGCAAAGACTATCGCTGTTTCACTTGTTGACGTTTCTGCTATCGCTTCTGGTCTCACACAGCATCACCTTTACGAATGCTGGCGCGTCGGAGAATGACGGTCAGTTCAATCCCCCCCTACGCCACCCGTGTGTCTCCATATGGAAGATCCGTTCATTAGGTTTTCGGAATGTGACTGAAGAAATCTTATTGAATAGTATGACCACGACTGGTGACTGTAGCGATAAACATCGTGAATGCGGCAAGGCAACGTTACCGCATTGCGCCGAGCAGAACGGTATCAGTCGCAGTTTAGGGTCACGGAGAGCCACGGACAATGTCGGCGCGCAGCGAATGAACGTGACCCGCCTGAGACACGTGGCAGCGAGCGCGTATACTGGTGCACGTGGACCTCGCAGCCGACGCAGTCTCGACGCCCCATTGCGCCACCATCTCACGCATTCCATTCCGGCCTTACGCTTTGGCCCTACCTCCCCCACCTCCCCCACCTCCTCCCCCCCCCCTTCGTTCCGCCTCCCCCGAGCGCAGTGCGCGCGCTGCTGGACGTGCGCGCGGCGCTGAAGGAGGCGAACCCGGCGGCGCTGGAGTCGTGGTCGGAGAGCACGGACCCGTGCGGGGGGTCGTGGGAGGGCTCCTTCCACTGCGACGACAACGGCCACGTCACCTTCCTGTGAGTCGCCATTCATGTGAGCGCCCGCAGGGTTGACTGCGCGCGTGAAGCCGTTCCGCCCAGCCCCTCATTCATTCCCACCTCGCTGCTGCCACTCGGGTCCCCCCATACCCAGTCCGCGCGCTCTTACATCTCTTCCCCCCTCCCCCCCAACCCCCACAAAACATCCCCCCTCCTCTCCCGCGCCCGCGCGCAGGTCGCTAGCGCAGAAGCAGCTGCACGGGCCCATCCCCGGCGTGCAGCTCGCCGCGCTCACGGCTCTCAACTACATGTACGTCCGCATGTCGCGACAATGCACGCCGCCCACGCGCATGGTAAGCGCCCCACACTGCTCGTGCGAGCGCGTTGGCTCGCCTCGGCGCGCTTCTCAGCGACAGGTACTGTCGACGCTGGGAGGGAGGGGTGCGGCAGGCGGAGCAGCACGGAATGCGGCAGTGCAGGTTCAGGTTCAGGCGGGGAGAAGCACGGCACAGACGTGCTTGCACTGACGTGCTCGGCTCGCTGGCCCTCCTCAGCTCTTGCCGGCTCGCTGGCCCTCCTCAGCTCTTGCCGGCTCGCTGGCCCTCCTCAGCTCTTGCCCACCCCGCCACCACCACGCACCATTCCCCTCCCTTCTCCCTTGCCCCTCATGCTCTTCGTGCCTCTCACCCGCCGTCCGCTCGCTACCATTCCCCCGTGTGCGCAGCGACCTGGCGTCGAACTCGTTCACGGGTCCCATTCCCGAGCAGCTGCTGCGACTCACCTCGCTGCAAATCCTGTGAGTGCCACTGTGCCGCCGCTCATACCACTGTGCCGCCGCTCATACCACTGTGCCGCCGCTCATACACGCACATCCGAGCTTCTCAGCAGCAGCACTCACGCCCAGCCCAGGACATGCCCTCACTCCATGCAGCCCTTAGTCCATCCTTTTCAGACGTCCCATCTATGCTCTATGATACAATCCCATGCCATGCCATCCCATGCCATCCCATCCATGCCATCCCATCCATGCCATAACATCCATGCCATCCCATCCATGCCATAACATCCATGCCATCCCATCCATGCCATCCCATACCATGCCATCCCATCCATGCCATTCCTCTCCCAAACCACCCCTCCCCCCCCCACCCCACGCTTGGCGGGCAGGTCACTATCGTTCAACCAGCTATCGGGCACGCTGCCAGCGGGCTTCAGCCAGCTCCAGGCGCTCAAGCAGCTGTGAGCCGCGCGGGACGGGGGGAGTGGGCAGGGAGGGTGGGGTGGGGGCACAAGGGGTTGTCTTGGCAGGCCCTGTAGCTTCTGTAGGAGCGTGCATGGCAGCACGTGGATAGCATTCCACAGGGAACACATTACCTGCCCGTTGACACCCTCTGTCGTGTGTGTGCCCCTCTCTCTCTCTGTGCACATGCATGTGTGCATGCATGCGAGCAGGCAAGTGGCAGGCAACCAGCTATCGGGCGAGCTGCCAGCGTCACTCTCCTCGCTCTCCAACCTCACCCTCCTGTCAGCCCCACTGCGCTCTGCCATGCCATGCTCATGCCATACCATACCATGTCCTGCCATACCATGCCATACCATGCCGTGCCATACCAGTCATGCCATACCGTGCCATACCATGCCATACCATACCATGTCCTGCCATACCGTGCCTACCATGCCATACCATGCCATGCCATACCAGTCATGCCATACCGTGCCATACCATGCCATACCATGCCATACCATGCCATACCGTGTGCCATACCATGCCATACCGTGCTATGCCATGCCATGACATAGCGTGCCATGACATACCGTGCCATGACACACCGTGACATACCATACCATACCATACCATACCAGGTTGACACCCATGCCAGCTATGCCATGAATAAAAAATGCAACCCACTCTGACTTCGCCTCTCATCTTCCTCTCATCTGTCTCTCATATGCCTCTCATCTGTCTCTCATATGCCTCTCATCTGCTCTGTTCCCACCTTTCCCCTTCTCTCCTCTGAAACGCTCCTGGCTGCTTGGGGCGTGGCATGGCATGGCAGCAACCTGTGCAAGAACCAGTTCACAGGGCCCATCCCAGGCGACTGGAGCAGGATGACTCAAATGGCCACCCTGTGAGTGCTCGCCCCCTCCCTCTGAGTGCTCGCTCCCCTCCTCCCTGTGAGTGCCCCCCTTTCACTGCCACCCTGTGATTGCTCCCCTCACTCCCACCCCTGTGAGTGCTCCCTACTCATTGCCACTGCACTGCTCACTTCTGTCGAAACACTGACTGCATGCATGCCACCATACGAGTAGCGTGGTTTCCACCTACCCACCGTCCCCACTCTCCATCCCCCGTACCTGCGTGCCTGCGTGCGGGCATGAGCAGGCGCCTGTCGTCCAACCAGCTGGCAGGGGAGGTGCCCTCGTGGCTCGGCTCCTGGCCCAAGATCGTTGTGCTGTGAGTGCGCTTCCTTCCTCCCACCTCACTGCATTCCTGCCTTTCTTTTCTCGCACTGCACCACACCACACCACACCACACTGCACTGCCTAACCGTCTCGTCAACGTATCCCTTGTTAATCAGCCACTCCGCGCCGTACCCCACCCACCCACCCCCCAATGGCGGCGCGGCGCCAGGGAGCTGTTTGGCAACAAGCTGGGCGGCTACATCCCGCAGGACCTCGCCCAGGCCACCACGCTCGCCTCTCTGTGAGCGCCTTGCTGCCCTCTCGTCCCCACCCACATCACCACGCTCGCAACCTTGTGAGCGCTCCTTCTTCCCTTCCTTGTTGCTCCCTTCACTCGATGTCCACGTCGCTCTCACTGCGCCCACCAGCCCCTCACTCACCTCACCCACTCACCTCACCCACTCACTCACCTGTGCCTCTCTCCCATCGGCCTCCCCTCGGCGTCCCCACGGCCTCCCCTCTTCGTCCCCTGCTGTGCGCGCCACCCTATACCGCCATTCGCTGCACCTGGAAGAGCGCTGGACGTGAACGAGCTGCGGGGGTCGCTGCCAGACTCCTTCAGCCGCCTCACCAACCTCAGAGAGCTGTCAGTCACGCCATCTTCCCATCCTTACTGCTCCTTGCTGCTCCCTGCTGCTCCCTGCTGCTGTCTGTTGCTCAGGGAGTTTTTGGTGCTGTTCTAATCCTTCGTTCCACCCTTTTCACCCATGCCATCCCTGTCATTTTCTACATTCTGTTTGCTACACGGAGCTGTTTCTCTCGATGCTAACATGATTCCCTTGTGCTGCATTCATGCATGTGGGGCATGGCATGTGTGTGCGGGCATGTGTGTGCGGGAATGGTGCATGGATGGGTGGCGGGGAGCAGGTACGTGTCGAGCAACAAGCTGGACGGCAGCATCCCGGCATCCTACAGCACTCTCACCCAGCTGCGATTCATGTGAGTGAGCTGCCATTCATGTGTGAGCTGCATGCCACACGCGCATGCATGCAGTGCAAGCACAAGGTGCCGGCATCACATCACGTGCATGCACGAGCTCACATCAAGCTGCCTTAAGCAACCTCTTTCCTCGCATCATCATAATCCTCTTTTTGTCTCACGTCTATGCTTCCTTGCGTCTGTGTCTTTGTCGTCTCTCTCACCCGGTGCGTGGCGCCCTGCAGTGATGTGAGCTACAACGCTGGGCTGGGCGGCCCCATCCCCGCCTTCTTTGGTGACTTTGACAACCTGGCGTCCATGTGAGTCAATGAGGGTCAATGGAGTCAATGCCAGTCAATGTTAGTCAATTGAGTGGTTGCAAGTCAAAGCCAGTCAATGCAGTGAACATGAGTGTAAGTGAGTCACTGCAGCCCACGAGATGGCAAGTCACAGGCCACCACACTCACCTCACCACCATCACACCACCACCCAAACTCCACCCCCCTCCCCTCCCACCCCCCCATCTCCCCCTCCCCAGTGCGATGCAGTTCTGCTCCTTCTCAGGCCCGCTGCCGCCCTCACTAGGCAACCTAGTACACGTGCAGGAGGTGCTGCTGGACAACAACCAGCTCACGGGGCCCATCCCGGACGAGTGGGGCGCGGGGCTGGAGCGAGTGGAGGTGCTGCACCTCAACGACAACCAGCTCAGCGGCACCATACCGGGCACGTTCTGCCACCTGGAGTATGCCAAGGACGTCAACCTCGCACTCAACCGCCTGCAGGGGCCCATCCCCATCTGCCTCACCTCGCTGCGCCGCATCTCCTCCCTGTGAGCGCATCTCCTCCCTGTGAGCGCATCTCCTCCCTGTGAGCGCATCTCCTCCCTGTGAGCACATCTCCTCCCCCCGTTAGACTCACCAATCTGTCGCCTCCCATCCCATCTCTTGCCACCTGTGCACTGCACCACCTCTGCTTAGTAACCCTCCACCATCGCTCACCCAGAGTTCAACCTTGTTCTGTTCCTTCACCCTCTCTCCCCTTGCATCCCCCTCACCCTGTGTTGTGCACCACCCTCTCCTAGAGTGCTCTCCTTCAATCGACTCACGGGCCCCGTGCCGCCTGTGCCAGCTGGCGTGCAGGTCTTCTTCAAGTGAGTGCCAGCTGGCATTGCACATTGCACATTGCACAATTGTCGCAAGGGATCGCTGCCAGCTGGCATGCCTAGCCTGCTGATGCGTGAAGCTCATTGCTGCTGCTGCTGCTGCTGCTGTTGTTGCTGCTGCTGCTGCTGCTGCTGCTGCTGCTGCTGCTGCTGCTGCTGCTGCTGCTGCTGCTGCTGCTGCTGCTGCTGCTGCTGCTGCTGCTGCTGCTGCTGCTGCTGCTGCTGCTGCTGCTGCTGCTGCTGCTGCTGCTGCTGCTGCTGCTGCTGCTGCTGCTGCTGCTGCTGCTGCTGCGAGCATAGTATTTCGTGCTGTTGCTGCTCGTCCTCGCATTGAAGTGAAATGCTCTCATTCCTCTCAACCTACTCGTTCTCTTTGTTGGCGTTTCATTGCACGGCATGGCACGGCATGGCATGGCACGGCATGGCATGGCATGGCAGGGTGAACGGCAACTGTCTAGACGGAGTGGAGGACCAGCAGTCGCCCTGCCCCGCCCCCGATGAGCTTCCCCCTCCTGCCCCCACCCCACCCGAGCAGCCACAGCAGGAGGAGGCAGCACCATCGAGCTCATGTGAGTGCTGCATGCTGGCATGCTGCCATGCTGCCAGCGGAACTGGTTCTGACAGGCAGGGTTGTACTGCCCCACTTACTCATCCCACATGCCACATGCATATCCCACATGCCACATGCATATCCCACATGCCACATGCGTATCCCGCATGCCACATGCATATCCCACATGCCACATGCATATCCCACATGCCACATGCATATCCCACATGCCACATGCATATCCCACATGCCACATGCATATCCCACATGCCACATGCATATCCCACATGCCCACATGCATATCCCACATGCCACATGCATATCCCACATGCCACATGCATATCCCACGTGCCCACATGCATATCCCACATGCCACATGCATATCCCACTTGCCACATACATATCCCACATACCACATGCCATCCACTTGATAGCCGCGACTCCATCCCTGCTTTTTAAAGCAGCAAACCTCTCTTTCTCCCCACCCCACCTGGTACGCGCATGTCTCTTGTCTCTCATCCCCACCAGCCACATGGTCATGGATGAGGGGATTCCTCATAGCGCTACTATCAGCCACCTTCGTGCTGCTGCTCATCTTCGCCTTTGTGCTCCTTGCCAACCGCTCCGACTCCCACAACGCCTCCCGCTCCGACAACTGTCAGTGCCCCTCCCCTGCCACACTGCCCCTCCCCCTGCCACTCTCCTCCCGCTCCCTATCTGCCCCTCCCGCTCCCATTCTGCCCCTCCCGCTCCCTCTCTGCCCCTCGCGCTCCCACTCTGCCCCTCCCTCTCCCACACTGCCCCTGCCTCTCTCACACTGCCCCTGCCTCTCTCACACCGCCCATCTGCTCATGCTCCACGCATCTCCTCATCCCACGCTCTACGTGCTCTCCTTTCATCCCTTATTCATATCCTTCCGCTTCTCCCTTCCGCGTCTCTCCCTTGCCTCTCTCACCTTCTCACCCCCCCTGGCCTCCCCAGCTCGCCCCCTCCCTCGTCCTTGCGGCCAGCATTGCTGCGGGAGCTGAGCCATGACACACCAACCAACCAGCCCGCTCGACTCCTCACGCCACTCACAAGCCAACCTCAAAGCCCCCTTCCCCCTCTCCTCTCCCATCCCCCGCGGACAGTGCAGGAGTGCAGCGTGGGCAAGGTGCCTTGGGTCAACTCATAAGCTCACCACCCTTCCCTCTCCCCCCATGCGCTGGTGCAGTGGCGGTGCAGGAGTACAGTCTGGGCAAGATCAAGAAGGCCACGCGCAGCTTCACCACGGTGTACGGGCGGGGCAGCTTCGGCACCGTGTACCTGGCCGAGGACTTCCTCAGAGACCAGATCGAGACGCGCGCCATCATCAAACGCGCCCACGACCCCGAGAGTGAGATGGCGGAGCGTGGGAGGGTGACATGGGGACGGTGTGAGTGGGTTGGGGGAAGGTTTGAGTGAGTTTGGGAAGGGTGTGAGAGCAAGATGGGTGGAAGGAGAGTGGGATTGAGATGACATGGGTTGCAACTTGCAAGTGAGTGGGGGAATCAATTGAGATGCCAGGATTGCCCTCTCTTCACCTCCTCACCATGCCTCTTCACCATCCTCCCCTCATCGCCCCCCCAACATCCTGCCCCTGCCACGTCAACCCCCCACCATCCCAACCGCCCCCCCTCGCAGAGCTGGGAGAGTACGTGTTCAAGGCGAAGGCGGACTTCCTGGCGAGGGTGAGGCACCGCAGCCTGGTGGCGCTGCTGGGGTTCTGTGTGGGCAAGGGCGAGCGCATCCTCGTCTACGAGTACCTCCCCAACGGCTCCCTCTACGACCGCCTCCACCGTCAGTGCCCTACCCCTGCCCTCTCCCCCTGCCCCCCTGGCCCTCTGCCCCTATGCACCCTTGCCCTGCCCCTCCTGCCCCCCTCCTGCCCCTCCTGGCCCTCCTGCCCTCCGCCCTCCGCCCACTGCTCTCGCATTGCAAGCATTGTCTGCCGTGGAATGCTGTGAGCCATGTGCGCTGATGCCATCACTCCATCGCGTGGCCCCTCCCTCCGTCGCCAGCACTCGCTAGTTCCCAGCAGATGCTCTCACCAACCCCCCCCAATCTCACTGTTATCCCGCCTGCCAAGATTCTGCTTCTGTTATTCCTGTACCTGCACTTATCCCGCATCCCTCCCATTCCCTCTCAAATTCCCCCCACCCCTGCCCACCCCACGGCACCGCGTGCGAGCAGGGCCGGACCTGGAGCCGATCCCGTGGGACACGCGGGTGCGCATTGCGGCGAACGTGGCGTCGGCGCTGAGCTACCTGCACCACTGCTGCCACCCGCCCCTCGTGCACCGCGCCGTCACCTCCTCCAACATCCTCCTCACCTTCGACATGTCCGGCAAGGTTTGTCCACATCTCGCACGGTGCTGTGGCATGTGGTGGTGTGATTACTTCATGCATAGCAAGCAGCATCATTCCCCTTCGCTCCTCCTGCTGTCCCTCATGCCCACCGTCCATCTCCCCCTCTCCCCTTCTCCCCTCACCCCACCAGCTATCTGACTTTGGTCTGGCCCGAGGCGGCTCCCCCGCCGTGTTTGACGACGGCTCCAAGCGCCGCCGCCCCACCAAGCCCGCGCGCACACGCAGCGGGGGGGTGGCGGAGGGCGAGGGGAGTGAAGGCGGGGAGGGGGGGGAGGAGGGGCAGAGCGCCCTGCAGGGGGGCGAGTTGGAGAAGGTGGATGTGTATGGGTTCGGAGTGGTGCTGCTGGAGCTGATCACGGGGCAGAAGGCCATGAAGGAGGTCCACATCACCAGCCTCGTGCGTCCGCCCCTCCGCCCTGCTCCTCCGCATGTTGCTTCAATGCATGGCTGCTGCTTGCACACCACTCTCCTCATGCACCAATCACCATGTGGTTCCACATCTGCAAGTGCTTCACCCGCATGATCGTTACCTCCCTCTCCTCTGCCCCTAAACCTGCCCCCTTGCCCTTATTTCCTGTTGCAGGCGGCACCGTTCCTGGAGGACGCGCAGATGATGCCGCTGATGGTGGACGCGGCACTGGGGGGGTTCTTCGACCAGGCGGAGCTCATCGCACTCGGCACCATCGCCCGCGACTGCGTGAAGGAGGACCCGTCGGCGCGCCCCTCCATGCGCGACGTGGTGCGCACCATGCAGGCGCAGCTCGACCTCGAGGCCGACCTCTTTGCCGCACCTGCTGGTGTGGCTGGCACGGATGACCTGGACCGGGGAGACGGGGGCGATGGGGTGGCCAACTCGAGTGGATACGCACCGGTGGGCGGCAAGAGTGCGCTGGCCTCTGCATGGGTGTCGTTGGAAAATGTTGCTTCCTCTGTCCGCACGGCCCTGACCAGCCCCCGGTTGGTGCCGCCACATCCTGCCGGCGAGAGCACAGCTGATCCCACGGATGTGGAGATGTCCTCGCTGTTGCTCATTGCGCCTCGTGCTGCACGCCGGTAGTTTCACCAAGACACTCACATCAGCTCTGTTGTAGAGTATTTATTTAGCTGCACCTATTGATGTGCAGTCATGTTAGTATTTCTATTGGATCTCCTTCCTGCTGTGTACAATATGGAATGACATTGTGCATGGTAGAATCTTAGCACGATTTAGATCTAAGCCAGCGGATTCATTCCGGAATGTAACAAACAGTGACGGTTGTGTCTGTCCAGATTATGATTGCCACATCGCGGACCAATCTGCGATCGCAAAAACAACTGACGAAGTGATGTTGCCACCAACCATCTCATGATGCCTCTCAACTCGACTCGAGGCATCCGAGCCATCTTCTGGTTACTCCACCGCACATTCCGCTATTTTCGCCTGCCCACACAGTCTCGATTCGAGCTCGCTGTGTGTGGCTGTGGTGGAGCGCTTTTCGCTTGTTGGGCTGCCCGTCCCTCGTCACTTGTATGGTGAGGCGAGGCTGCCCTCTCGGAAATCCCAAAGCAGCAAACACAACTCCCACCATGACTGCCTCCTTTCCGTCTCCATCCACAGCACATCCCGTGCCCATGCTGCTCGCTGGATGCACTAATATCTGGCCCGTCAGCTCTCTAACCTAAGCAGCATCGCTGCCATACGACCGGAGAGTAACCAGGTTTTAGAAGCTTCTGTTCCACTGTTCTCGACATATAAGTTCCGCCATCATCCCTTTGCGTCGTCCGAGCGAGCACCGCCATAGTCGCCATGGACGTGAGGCATCAAGCGGCGCGATTCGAAATCAACGAATTGCGTCGCTGCATGAGCACGTCGCTCGACAAGCTGGTTACCACCACGCCGTCGGTGCGTTTCGCCGACGAGGTCGTCGACCTTGAGGCGGAGGCGGGTCCGCCGCAAGTCACGTTCGGGCGGTCCACGTCGTTCACGTCGCACAGCTCCTCCGGCGAGACGGAGGCGGCGCGGCGGCTGGCGGTGCGTCTGCTGATCGGCGGCGCCAAGGAGGAGGGCGGCGGGGAGCCGCAAAAGGAGGGGCGCGAGCGACGCCGTCGCCACGGCAGCAGCAGCGGCGGTCGCAGCAGTGGCAGCGGCAGCGGCAGCGGCAGCGGTAGCGGCAGCGGCAGCGGCGGCGGTGGCAGTGGGGAGGCGCGAGGGTCGTGGCAGAAGCACCGTAGCTATTCGCTGAACCAGGAGTGGTCGGGGGGGAAGCCCGTGTCGCGGTCCAGTGGGGGCGGCTCGGAGACGGAGAGCGCAGACGGATCGAGCAAAAGCGAGAAGCGATCGTTGGCGAAGGAAGTTACAGCGCTTCGACGACAGCTCGCGGAATTTCAAGCTGCGAATCAGGACCTTCTAGGTAAGCGGCGTTACAGACGGGGCAGAGCACGAGGTGTGACAGAGCACGGGGTGTCGCTGTGGCAGTGCTGCATGCGTGCGTCTCCGAGTGCATGTTTGATGCGCTCTCGCCCGCGGATTGCGGAATGAGCGCTGCCAGCGCGAATTCGCGTCGCACCTGCCTTGTCGGATAGCAGCTCTGAATTCGTGCACGCTGCACTGCTCTTTCTCGCCGTCACGCGCCCTCTCCTTCTTAACCCTCCTCACACCTCTCTTCTCCACACCCTCTCCTTCAACACACGCTCTCCTTGCCCACACCCTCTCCTCCTTCCCCACACCCTCTCCTCCTTCCCCACACCCTCTCCTTTCCCACGCCTTTGTGCTGCATCCAGTTATCCCCTCAGCACCCCCTTCCTCCTGCCCACTCCCCTGCATCCTCACTCCTCCACCTCCCACTTTCCACCTCCCCACTCACCTCCATGTTGGCCAATCTCCATTCCCCCACTTTCCTCCACCCCCCCACTTTCCTGCAAACCCCCATTCCCCTCCATCTTCTCACCCTCACTCTCTTTCTCCTCCCGCTCTCTCTTTTCCTGCAGCCCTCCCAATCCCCGTCTGCACCCTTACGCTATTCTCAGCCCCCAACATATCCCTCTCTCCCTTCCAAAGAAGCACCCCACGGGCCCACCCCACCCAACCTCCCTCCCTCCCGCCCCCCCCCCCCCCCCCCCCCAACCAACCCCTTTTTCCCCCTGGCCAGACGAGCTGGATCGCAAGTCGCTGGCGGTGGCGGCAGCGGAGGAGGCGGTGAGGGACGCGCGGGCGGAGCGGGATCTGATGGCGGCGGAGATGGAGGCGGCGCTGGGCACGTGGACGCTGGCGGTGGACGAGGCCAAGGAGGCGGCGCACGCGGCGGAGGCGGCGAGGGAGCAGGTGGCGGAGCTGGAGACGGAGAACAAGCGCCTGTGGCAGCTCGTGGAGCTCATTCTTGAGCAGAAGGACAAGGCCGCGCTGGACGGCGCTGATGGCGCTGGCAAGTTCGACCCCACCACCAATGCACGCATCATGTGAGTGCCCTCGCTGGCTCGCGGGGTGTGGGTGTGTGGCGCTGCCCGCGTGCTCAGTGTGTGAGTCGTTGGCACGCAAGCTCTGTGCCTGCCTGCCGTGGAGTGCGGGAGAGCAGGGTCGTTTCACTGGCACCCACTCCTGGTTCCTTCCCAGTTTGTAGTTGGTGCTTATTTGGTCTGTCCCGGGTGGTGCTGCCATTCACTGTGCCTGTGGCATGCACTCGGCTCACCCGCCCTCACTACCCGCCCTCCCCACCCGCCTGCCGTGTCCATGTGTGGTGCTTCCAGGAAGGTGCTAGAGTCGGTGAAGAAACCGAGTCACAGGAGCTCGCCGTCCCCCAGCCGCCCGGCCACGGGCAGCAGCAGCAGGCGGGGGGCAAGTGGGGGGTCGTCGGGATCCAAGGCGGCAGGGGACTCGGAGAGGGCAGGCGAGTCGGGCTCTCGCAGCAGCAGATCGTCATCGTCCAAGCAGGTCCGCTGGTGACCCCCCTGCTGTGCGCCCTCAACCCGCGCCCCACGTGCCACACACTTCCCAGCCTCAGACACTGCCCACGAGGCTCGCGTGCGTACTACACCAGCACTCCACTGCTTCACAACACAACGCTTTGTTGATAGTTATATAGGAAGAGCCCTGTGCTTGCTCATGGGGGTAGAGTGTAGGAAGAGCTGTGCAGCTGATTCATTTTCTCTTCCTTTTTTTCGGGTCTAGGATGTTGTAGAAGCTGTTGTAGCAAAGCCGTTTAGCTGTGTGAAACTGTGATAACATAGGCTGCTTTGCATCCAGATTCATCGTAAGATAATTGAAAATGGGAGTGCATCGATATGCACAATTCCTGTGGAATCTGCGTTACCCTATCCGGCGAGAAAATAGGCAACAAGCGATCCCAATCACGATTTCATCCCACCAGCTGCCCCGCGCAAATCTGCTTTTGAGGCAATTTCAGGTCGCATTTCACATTGCCGCGACGGGCTCCATCCCTGCGCACTGCGTGCTCTCCGCCTTCCTTTCGCCTCCAGCAGCCGTGCGCTTTACGCGTGTCCCGTTGTGCCTCTCCCCCTCCCCCCCGTCGCGTGTGGCCATGCCCGCTTCAACTCTCCCATTCTCCGCGCCGCTCGCCCGGCTGTCCGCTCCGCTCTCCTCCTCCCACTCCCTCTCTCGCACGGCGCCCCTTCTCCCTTCTCTCCCGCCTCTCGATCTTCGCTCCTCCCTCCGCCTCTCGCGCTCCCCCACGCCCGCGCTACACTCCGCGCCTTGCCACACTTCACGTTCCTCCCGCTGTTCTGCTGGCGAGGGTATGGCGACGGCGTCGCAATCGCCGCCTGAAGCGGGCAGCACGCCACGTGTCATCAAGCTGGAGGCGATCCCGCTGAGCCGCGAGGCGTTCGCGCCGTTCGGCGAGGTGGTGGAGCCCGCGGAGGACGGCGTCGCGTTCGGCGCGGCGGACGCCGCCCTCGACCTCTCGCAGGGCGCGCCCAGGTGAGGAAGGGGGGAGTGGCGGGGACGAGGAGCCGAGGTGGGGAGCGCGGAGGTGAATTTGAGGCGCTGGCGGAGAGGCGGAAAACAGGAATGCGATGCAAGAGTGGGAGGGGATGGGCAGTGCGGTGGGCGTCACTCTAGGCGCGCTGATGGGCAGGCAATGCAGTAGCGGGCGAGGGCGTAGCGAGGGCCCCTGGCAGGCGTGTGAGCGAGCGGCAGTAGCGGGGCTGCCATGATGGGCAAGGCGCGCTGCATAGCGCCATCCCACGAGTATCCACCCCCTCCTCCTCCCATGCGCCCGCGTGAGGGCACACGTTGCACCCTCGCATCGCCCCAGACACACCTTTGCCACTCCAACACTTTCTTGCCGCTCCTGCCCCGTCCCCCTCCCCCTTCCCCCTGCCCGCCCCCCAGGGTGTACATAATGCGGCTGAGGGACCGGCGGCTGGGGTTTGGCAGCATCACGCACCACGCGCGCGTGACGCAGTGCCTGGGCGCCGTGGGCGGGCAGCCGTGGTTCCTGGGCGTGGCGCCGCCCTCCCTCGTGCAGGATGGGGAGGGCCGTGAGGGTGGTGGCGCTGATGGGTAAGCAGGGGGCAGTGGCGGGGAGTGCGAGGGGCGTTGCAGTGCGAGAGGAGGCGGTGAGAGGCATAGGGGAAGAGGCTAGTGGAGGTCCAGTGTGTGTGCTGGCTGCGTGTGTGTCAGCTCTGCCGTTCCTCTCTGCCCCCTTGGGATTGCCGCCACCTCATGCTCGCCGTCCTTCACTTCCCCCCCTCCCTCCCTTCCCCAACCCCCACGCTTCCCACTGTGCTCGCCACCTTGTGCACATGCCGCACCAACCACGTATCCACCACACACCATCGCTCATTCCCTGCTCCTCCTTGCCCTCGCCCCCTTCTCATGCGTGCACTGGCCCTGGCCTCCGTCTCTCTCTCCCTGCCTCCCTCCCCCCTCCTTCACACGGCGGGCAGCAGGGCGGTGAAGCAAGGGGCGGCAGGGCAGAGGTACCGCCCTCCCGAGGTGGGGGCGGTGAGGGTGTTCCTTGTGGAGGGCGCAGTGGTGGTGAAGCTGCACGCCGGCACGTGGCACGCTGGCCCGCTCTTCACCGCGCCGTGCATGGACTTCTTTAACCTCGAACTGCATGACACCAATGTGCGCGGGGAAGGGGGTGGTGGGGGAGTGGTGAGGGGTGGTGGGGAGTGTGGAAGGGTTAGTGTAGACACCTCATTCATGCACCTGCTGTTCTCCATCTCCCACCCTATGCACCTCATACACATGCATGGCCCTGCCCTTGCTTCGTGTGTGTGCCCCTTGTGTGTCTCCCAGCCTAACCTTCACATGGCACATGTTTTCTGAAACTGTCTGTTCGCCATCCCCTGTACCCACTTGCACTACCCTGCACCCCCTTGCTCCCCCCTGCACTCCCTTGCACCCCCATGACCCCCAGGTGGTGGACCACACAACGCACAGCTTTGCTGACAGCAACGGTGTGGTGTTTGAATTTGACGATGCACGATCGTGACACGCTTGTGACGAATGGTCTGCTTGCACCCACCCTATGTGCAGCGTCTGTCGCACATCACTGTAGACCAGACCAGGCCCAGGGCCTCAGATTCATTTTTTAAGTACGGTACCCCTGAATTATCATTGTCGATGTGAGAATAAAGGTTGATTGACAGCCTTCTTAAAGCCGTTGGCCCAAATTGCACAAGTTTTTAAAAGATGACGAGGGGGAGTTTTACTGGTTTGAGTTTTGGCGAATGTTTCCGATTTCGTTAAATTCGTTTTTTTCGCCCAACCAAGCCAGCCGCACGTTTTTACCCTGGCGGGTGTGTCAGACTTCGAAAGTCCCAAATTGCAGTGTTAGAACTAGGAGCTAGGTGAATGTCGATTACCGTCATCGCTCGGAATAAGACATATATGTCTTATCTCATACACTAAAAAAATGCTTGGGTTATCTTGTATTTGGGGAGGTTTTGGGTGTCTTATAAGTCTTATAAATGGAAACTTTTTTAAACTACTTCGAAATATTTTCACACATCTTGAAAAGAGTTTCTCATTATGAGTGTGGATGTTGCGAAGGTGCCACTTCGGCAACCATTGTTCGGGGTGCCACGTCATGGAGAATACTTGCAAAGGGTAAAAATGTATGCGGTACTTCAAATTTCACTATAATATATTGCAGTTTTGATTATAAGACACATATGTCTTATCTCGTACACACAAATAGGTGTCTTATAATGAGGCTAGCCTGTTTATAAGAGACACCCGTATAATAGACAACCCCTGTCTACTATTCAACACTGTCTTATATCCGGATGATGACGGTAGGTAAGAGGGAGGGAATACAAGACTATCGAGAGAATTGGGTTGTACCCTCTAAGGAATGACCCCTACACAACCTAGAGTGAAATAAACAGAACTATATGTATTGACACACCCCCATAGGGTGAAGTAGGGGATAGCCAAACCTAACAGTGGTCACAACAAGACCAGTCAAGCAGGAGAACAAGCAAGGCAAAACCCACGGTGGATCTCAAGGACACCACACAATCTGAACACAAGCAGGTGGCCACAAGGCCAGTTTATATGCAGATATATAATAGCAAGGTAGTACACCAATCACAACCTAGCAAGAGTAAACATGTAGGTATAAAGAGATATAGCAGTGTACAACAAGAGCAAGTCAAGCAACCAGCAGGTGAGGCAGAGTGGGCACAAGCCCAAGAGCAATGCAGAAACGTTGATGATCACCAGACCCAAGGGCCTTGATGTAGACATCAGCAGTGTTGGCCCGAAAGGCCACGTAAGCAAGGCGCAGCTGACCACGTTGCTGCAGCTCACGCGCAAGGAAGTAGCGAAGAGCAATGTGCTTTGTTCTGTGCTCCAGTCTCTGCCCGCGACACAAGGCAAGCATTGCCTTGTTGTCGACGTATAGAACTGGAGGAGAACGAGGCCGCTCCCCCAAGTCGGTCAGCAGGTAGGTCAGCCAGCGGAGCTCCTGTGCAGCCATGGCCCCAGCGTAGATCTCGGCCTCACAGCTGGAACCAAGCATAGAAGAAGAACGAGTGGACCTCCACGAGACAGAACCAGAGCCAAGACTGAAGGTGTAACCCTGTGACGAACGCTGAGTCGCCTGGTCGTTGGCCCAAGAAGAGTCAGAGTGTCCTGTGAGGACCACCGAACCCCGTCCTCCAAGCACGAGCCCCATGCCCGATGTGCTACACAAGTAACGCAGTACCCTCTTCGCAGCATCAAAGTGCACCTTTCGGTGTCTACCGGGTGCCACGTAGCGAGCCAGAAGGCTGAGAGGGTACGCGAGGTCAGGTCGTGTGCACGTCATCAGGTACATGAGGTAACCCACAAGCTCTGGGTACGGACCACTCGGCTCTATGGACTCGTCCGAAGGTGGAGCTGAGAGCGAGTGGCCGATAGCTAGAGGAGTGGGCTGTGGCGAGGAGTATTTGAAGCGGAAGCGCTGAAGGACCTGGTGCACCATGTGTGACTGAGTCAGGGTGATGGTGCGCCGTGCTCTGACCCGGGTGATCTGCAAGCCAAGATAGCTCCGCAGCTTACTTAGGTCAGTGCAGGTGTGTCTCTCCTGTAGCTCCGCCTTCACTAGGGCCAGTGGCTTAGTGTCAGCAGTAGCAAAAACCAAGTCGTCAATGTACACGAGGATGTAGAACGGCGGCAGAGAAGTGTCGGTGCGTAGAAACAGCGACGGGTCAGTTGTCGAAGGAGCAAACCCAAGAGTCGCAAGTGTCGAACTCAGTGTGTCGTGCCACTCGCGGGGCGCCTGACGCAGGCCGTACACTAGTCGCCGTAGGCTCCACTGGGTACCCTCATGAAACGACCCAGTGAAGCCCTGTGGACGGCGCAACCAGATGGCCTCGTGAAGGCTACCCTGCAAGAAAGCTGTCGAGAAGTCGAGGGAGTGCAGCTCGTAGTCACGCTGAGCCGCAACGTGTAGCAACACCCGAAGATTGGTCATCTTCGGGGTGGCGGAGAAGTTCTGAAAGAAGTCGACCCCTTCACGCTGACTAAAGCCTCAAGCAACATAACGTGCCTTGAAGGCAAGCGGAGAACCCGACGGCCGCTTCACCTTGAAAATCCACATGCCACTGATAATGTTCGCCCCAGGTGGGGGAACCTCGTCGGCGTAGGTGCGAGTGGACTTCCAGGAAGCCATCTCGACCTGAATGTTGTTGCAGATTCGGGTGGCCCATGCTCAAATACATTCACCTGAGCAATTCCGGCTTGGTTCGCGCGCATGGAAAAGTTCGGCGCCTGCGATGACGGCCGCGCCTGCCGACAAACGCCAAGGAAGCGCATGGATCCCTATGGGCCTGGGGAAAAGCGTCAAAATACCTGAATGTTGTTGCATACTCGGGATGCCAATGCTCAAATACACCGACCAGAGCAATTCTGGCTTGGTTCACGCGCACCGAAAAGTTCAGCGCCTGCGATGACGGCCGCGCCTGCCGACAAATGCGAGGGAAGCGCATAGATCCCTACAGGCGTAGGGAAAAGCGTCGAACGACCTGAATGTTGTTGCATATTCGGGTGGTCCATGGTCAAATACAACCACCAGAGCAATTCCGGCTTGGTTCGCGCGCACAGAAAAGTTCGGCGTCTGCAATGACGGCCGCGCCTGCCGAGAAACGCTAAGTAAGCGCATGGATCCCTACAGGCGTTTGGAGAAGCGTTGAAGGACCTGAATGTTGTTGCATATTCGGGTGGCCCATGCTCAAATACACCCACTAGAGCAATTCCAGCATGGTTCGCACGCACAGAAAAGTTCGGCGCCTGCGATGACGGCCGCGCCTGCCGACAAACGCCAAGTAAGCGCATGGATCCCTACGGACATGGTGAAAGGCGTTGAACGACCTGAATGTTGTTGTATATTCGGGTGGCCCATGCTAAAATACACCCATCTGAGCAATTCCGGCTTGGTTCGCGCGCACGGAAAAGTTCGGCGCCTACGATGACGGCCGCGTGCCGACAAACACTAAGGAAGCGCATGGATCCCTACAGGCGTAGGGAAAAGCGTCAAACGACCTGAATGTTGTTGCATATTCGGGTGGTCCATGGTCAAATACAACCACCAGAGCAATTCCGGCTTGGTTCGCGCGCACAGAAAAGTTCGGCGCCTGCAATGACGGCCGCATCTGCCGAGAAACGCTAAGTAAGAGCATGGATCCCTACGGGCGTTTGGAGAAGCGTCGAACGACCTATATGTTGTTGCATATTCGGGTGGCCCATGCTCAAATACACCCACTAGAGCGATTCCAGCATGCCCTGGCACGCACAGAAAAGTTCGGCGCCTGCGATGACGGCCGCGCCTGCCGACAAACGCCAAGTAAGCGCATGGATCCCTTCGGGCGTGGGGAAAAGCATTGAACAGCCTGAATGTTGTTGCATATTCGGGTGCCCCATGCTAAAATACACCTATCTGAGCAATTCCGGCTTGGTTCGCGCGCACGGAAAAGTTCGGCACCTGCAATGACGGCCGCGCCTGCCGACAAACGCTAAGGAAGCGCATGGATCCCTATGGGCGTGGGGAAAAGCATCGAACGACCTGAATGTTGTTGCATATTGGGGTGGCCCATGCTCAAATACACCCACCTGAGCAATTTCGGCTTGGTTCGCGTGCACCAAAAAGTTCGGCGCCTGCGATGATGGCCGCGCCTGCACTCGCTGCAGCCGCCCCTGACCTACCCGCGCCGACCCTCTGTAGCCGCTCTGCGGCTTTCTCCTTGCCCACCCCCTCCTCCTTCGTCTTCCTGCAGCCGTGGGGGGGAGGGCATGGGGGTGGCGGGAGTGGGGTGATGGGTGGTGTGTTTCCCTTCCCCTCCTCCTTTCGTTCCCACTGCTGCTGCTGCTGCTGGGGGGGAGGGTGTGAGGGTGTGGGGGAGCCCGGGGAGTGGCATTGGGGTGGCGGATGTGAGACAAACCAGCCCCCGTCCCTCTGAGGGGGGGGGGGGGGGGCGCGAAGTGGGGTGGCGGGGCCACGAAGTGGGGTGGCGGGGCCGCGACGGGTCGGTGGCGGGCCCGCGACGGGTCGGTGGCGGGGCCACGACCGGAGTTGGCGGGGCCGCGACCGGAATTGGCGGGGCCGCGACCGGAGTTGGCGGGGCCGCGACCGGAGTTGGCGGGGCCGCGACCGAGGGCGGCTGGGCCGCGACGCGAGGCGGCAGGGCCGCGACCGGAGGTGGCGGGGCCGCGACGGGTCTGTGGCGGGGCCGCGGCCGAAGGTGGCGGGGCCGCGACCGGAGTAGGGCGGCGGGGCCGCGACGGGTCCCCGTCGCCCGTCGCGACGCCTCCAGAGCGGGACGCGGCGAACGCCGCGAGGCAGACGCCCGCCGCGCGCCTCGGGGCGCACAGCGGGCAGAGAACCGCCGCGCGCCTCGGGGCGCACGGCGGGCAGAAAACCGCCGCGCGTCTCGGGGCGCACGGCGGGAGGAAAAAGTAGCAGCGGAAGCGAGGTGGTAACCCACCCACAGGATCGATCCAAGGGGATCG